AAACAATCATGGCAGTACAGTATTTCGTAAAAATATAAATGCGTATTGACCATGTCTGTCATTATTATCTAAAAGTCTTAAGTAAGGAACGTGCAGGAGCAGCAAATACGCAGAATAAATTGAACAAATAACAGTATATATCTTAACAAATACAAGAATAATAAGAAAAAACAGGAGTAAACAAGTTAAAGAAAAGGGAAAATAAAAAAGGGATTTTTTTTTTTTAGATATTCGCTTCATTATGAAACAGAGAACATGGAATGTAATATTTTTGCTTTCTTTGTTCTCATCATTTTTAGTTTTTTTTTTTTTATTAAATTCTAAATCATTTATGAAAGACCTGAAGCTGGGCGAAAATTGTTAAGAAATGACCCTGCCTTGTAGGAAAAGCACAAATTTATTGGTTGGAACTGGGATTACAGTTGCTGAAAGTAGTTGAAGAACCTTAAGCAGACGCCCGCAGACATCAGCATCTGGTTAAACCAAGCAGTGAAGGGGGTGAGGGACCGCCAGGGCAACAGTGTCCAGAACGCCCATCTCCTCACTCTCTTCCACCGCGTCTGTAAGCTGCTCTTCTTCCGCATCAGACCGGTCTTTGTGTTCGACGGAGATGCTCCTCTGCTGAAAAAACAGACCCTGGTAAGTTCTTTAAGTTTTTTTAAAAWWTTTTTACAGGTTCCAACGATGTAAATCCCACCTGTTTCTCATAATCTGTTCAAATCCCGCAGGCTCTGAGGAGGCAGAGGAAGGAGGAGCTGACCCGCGAGTCCAAACAAACCAACGAGAAACTCCTCAAGACCTTCCTGAAGAGACAAGCCATCAAAGCTGCCCTTGGAGATCAAAGGTGATTGTTTATTAAAAAATAAATAAATCACGTGTTTCATTTTCTGCCTGAAGCGTCACACGTTGTTTTCCTCGCTGCAGCAAGGACCCTCTGCCCAGCATCTCAGGCGTCAGGAGGAACGAGGTGGACGACATGTACATTCTGCCCGCCCTTCCACCTGCAGAGGAGAAGGAGAGAAGCAGGTCAGAGCTTCAGCGGGTTACTAGTTATAATTTAAAAAGTGTTGTTAAAGGATGAAACTAAATAAAAGTCTTTCAACTAATTAGACAGTTAGCTTTATTTCTTCATTGTGTTTTTTTTTATATAAACATGAATCACAACAATAAGAAAGAACTTTGTTCCATGTAGTCAGATGTAGTTTTTGTTGAGCTCAGCTCTGTTTTATGTTGTGTTTTTTTAAACTATAAGCCTTATATTGTGAGGTTTTCTTCTTGCAGCTCAGAGGAAGAAGAGGAGAAAGAAGGAAACGAGTTGAGTGACAGTTATCACATGTATCAGGTAAAATAAGAATGACATGATCACCTCTGCAGGTTCGTTTTTAGCTTTTGTGAATTAACTCTGGGACATTAGGAGTGTAATTTGTAAAATAATCAGGTATCATGTAAGTAATTTTATTTTATTTTTATTTGAATCTTTATTCATTTCTTTAAAACAAATCAATTCTATGTACAAATATAAAAAAAGAAAAAAAACACAAATGCAATAAAATAAAAGGCAGTAGAGAGAAGAAAAAAATCTTACATCTGCCCCTTTTTTCTTCAAGTATAAACTCAAACACTACTAATCTTCAGTTAACAAAAAACAGAACATCCYTCCATCCATCTTCTGTACACGCTTCTTCCTTTTCAGGGTTGCGTGGGTCAATGGTGCCCATATCCAGCAGTCACAGTGCGAGGGGCGGGGTACACCCTGGACAGGTCGCAAGTCCATCACAGGGCCACACATAGAGACAAACGAGACAAACAACCATTCACTCTCTCACTCACACCTAGGGACAATTTAGAGTTATCAATTAACCTAACAGTCGTGTTTTTGGTCTGTGGGAGGAAGCTGGAGTGCCCGGAGAGAACCCACGCATGCACGGAGAGAACATGCTAACTCTACCCAGAAAGMTCCCCGGACCGGGATTTGAACCGGTGACCTTCTTGCTGAGAGGCATCAGCTCTACCAACTGAGCCACCGTGCCGCCAAATATGTTCATTTTTATTATTTAAATGAGGCCAGATCAAGTCGAGAGCTATTTGTGCACCCCTAAATAAATAAATAAATTTAAAAAACTCACTCGCTTCATGAGCCGACTGTACCAGGAAGCACTTTATAAAGAGAGTCAAACCATAACAGATGTTTTACATGGTGAACATTGGACTCCACCAGGAAGAAATCCCGTGCATACTGCTGCTTAAAAGTTCGCTACATCAGAACTTAGTCGGCAAATGTGTTTCCATCACTGCTTTTGGGCATTAACTCTTACAGGACGGGGGAAATTGGTCTTGGCGGAGGTTTGCACTCTCCGAGTGCTTCTAATTGTTAAATGTAATCGTTAGTTAGTGTCACACTTAGCTTCTGTTTATGGAAGTCCCATTCAAAGCCTGATTTGTTATTTATTTCCTCAGGAAGAACTGTACGAAGACCCAAACTCTGTGGACATCAACTCCGAGGAGTTCTCCAGCCTGCCCGCCGAGATGAAACACGAGATCCTGAAAGAAATGAAGGACTTCTGTAAAAGACGCAGGACCATGATTCACAAACCTCCAGAGGTACGTGGCCTGGCTTCTCTTCGCTCTCTTTAGCCTCTGTTCGCCCGCTGACCTCTGTCCGTCGGCTCGTAGCGCTCAGGAGAGTTTTCTCAGTACCAGCTGGCCGGCCTGCTGCAGAGGAACCGGCTGAACCAGCGCCTGGAGGGGGTGGAGCGAGAGATGAGCCACCGCAGCGCCGCCGGCGCGCCACAGCTCGGCCAGGAGGACGGAGACCAGCGGAGTCACAGCGTGGAGTCAAACCGACTGGTTTCAGAAGACCACTCGCATTACATTCTCATTAAAGGTGAGACAGAGTCAGTGTGAGGGAGGGGTACAAGACCATCTGTTCGAATTTTCCCTTTTTTTTCTTTTTGCGTAAATATATTTAAAAAAAACGATGGACACGTCTTCTGGCTCCAACATGTAAGGCTGGATGGACAAGTCTTCCCTCGTTGACATCTTTTAATGTATTTATAAATAAAAAGCTTAACCGTGTCTCTGCTATCTGGGGCTTACATTTAAAGAGGCAGCACCAAAACGAGTTGCTCTCAGAGGCGCCTCAGAACAGAGGTGGAAATGAGGAATGCAGACCAAAGCGTTGCAGTTCCACTTTATAGAAGCTACGTTTACATGGACATAAGTAATCGGATTAAACGGTCGTTCGGAATAAAAATGCGTCATGTAAACAGCCCGTTCGGATTATTCTGATCCGATTGAGCTCGATCCGAATGAATTTTTAATCCGAATGAGTCTGTTGGGTTATGCCGATTGATAATCGGAATGGCGTTCATGTAAACACTTAATCGGATCATCTTATTCTGATTGTAGAAAACTGACCTGAGTGCGCATGTCTGCTGACTTTCATTCACTTGGTTCTGCTTTTAGAGGAGGCGGGGCAGCAGCGCTCCAGCTGCGCTGCGCCACGCAGAACTTTTCCTCCTCGCTCTCTTAACAGATGAAAAAGGAAACAAACAACAGACGTTGCTTCGCAAAAAAAATAAAAATAAAAAACACTTATTGGTTCATCTGCAGGCTGCAGCTCAACCGAGGAGTAACGGCGTCTCTACCGTTATTAAAAGCTGACACGGGTCCGTCCTGAGCGCACAGATTACGTTTGTAACACGGAAGTAGAGCTGAAAGTTTACAACACTGCGCATGTCCGGACTTTTATTCTGAATAAAACTCCGGTGCATGTAAACGCTTGTCATGATCGGATTGTGTCCATGTAAACACTACATTTGGATTATTTAATCCGAATACATTTCAATCCGATCAAAAAATTGTGTGCATGTAAACATAGCTATAGACCCCAATGATGGTTTAAATGTGAAAAATAAGGATTTAAAACAAGATATGTCTGCTTTAATAAACTGAATCCATTCAAATTTTCTGTTACTTCAAACTGTAGTGGCTGAAAACAAGGAAATAAATGTTTAATGTTGTTTTATGTTTTAGTTTTAGTCCTAAAACTGGGTTTTATTGAAAAAACAGACTTAAAAGTTAACGTTGTACTCTCGTTTTTTAATATTTCTTCTCATTTTAGGCTCCAAAAAGTCTGAAGCTGCCTCAGAGAGCCAGCCTGCAGCCTCGCCCTGGGCCGGGAGCTCCCTGTCCGGCTGCAGGAGAGCGGCAGACAAACCCAAACCTTTGTGGCGACCTGTCGCTGAGGAAGAGGAGGAGGTACAGGCCTCTTCGTCAAAGGAGACCTCTGAGTCAAAACCACTTCAGGAAGACGCCTGTCCAGCTTCACCTCGGACTCTGGAGGCCATCCAGGCTGCCCTGAACGATTGCTCCGATGATGATGATGAAGAGGAGGATGGACGGGTATCTCCTCGTACGCTCCTGGCAATCCAGCAAGCTTTAACCGAGGAAGAGGACGGGACAAGCATCTCACCTGCCAAACCGAGGACAAGTCCTCCTCGTCCCGTGGTCATTGGCAGCTCAGACGAGGAGAGCCGGCCTGTCCCTGAAGAATCGTCAGATTTTCCAACGAATGCCGCCCAGAGCGTCCACATGGAGGACAGCCTGCTCGACAGCAGCTCTGAGGAGGAGCTGGAGGAAGTGGTCGAACAGAGAAACAAAGCCTTTCGATTGGCTGCGCTGCCACGAGCYGAGGAGGAGGAGGAGGAGCGGACGAGAGAGGCGGAGGAACGGGAGGAGCTGAAGGAGAAAGCGTCCAATCAGAACTCACCGAATGTTAGTCCCTCCTCTCGGACAAGTTGGAACCCAGGCGGCACAGAAACAAACGCTCCTCCTGGAAACCCGGAGGAGAAGAGTGCCGAAGAGACGAACGGAGACAAGGTGAAAATGGACAGCGGGTCTGAAGGTAAAACAAATAAAACCCTTAATGACATCACACCTCGTTCAAGCAGGGGCGGAGCTAGAGGGGTGCCACCTCTGGCACCTGATTGGCCACCCCAGGTGCCACTCAACAAGTGGGAGGGGATTTTTTTATTTTGTATTTTCATTTAGATTTTGTTAAATATTGTTTTCTGATACAAAATTTTCAGCTGTGGTTAAATAAGGCTGAATTATAGCCCTTTGTAAAATTAGCATTAGCAGTTAGCTTAGTTTTCCATTAGCATCGCCAATCTGTGTGTGATCATTCTTAGCTACTCGCACAACAAATTAATTCCAATAAGTCTTAAAATAGCAGTGGTGGTGAGCTTCACACTGTCGTACAGGATACAGTAAAAATAAATAAATAATAATAATAGCAGTGGCGGCCATCTTGAATTTTTGATTAACATTTTGATTTTTTTCTGGCTCAGCTTCAAAAGATTGTTTTTGGTCTTCAGTTGTCTAAAAATGTCTGAATAATAAATAGTTTTTTTTTAGCATTCTGGCACAATATTTCCTAAAACAGCTAAATTAAAGTGATGTTGAATTAGCTGTGGCGGCCATCTTGAATTTTCAAATCCAGAGTGCTTTTCTTTATTTGTATGTGGCCCCCAAAAACCACCCCGGCCATCCCTTACAAAAAGGTCTAGCTCCGCCCCTGTGTTCAAGACCTAAAACGTCTTCATGTGTAGATTTGTTTTGTTTTGTTTTGTTTTAGAGAGTTTCATCGAGGTGCCAGAAGAGGAAGTCGAAGAGGAGGACGCAGCTGATTCAGACGCTGTTGGAGACAAAAGATCTTCAGAAGAAGCCGATAAAGACGTGACGATTACAGACGACGAGTCGGGTGGAAGTTTAACCGAGGTTCTCCAGGGTCCAACTACTGCTRGGAGTTCAGAGGAGGAAAAAGAGGAGGAATCAGAGACTCAAAATCAAGAGAACGAGCTGAAAGAGGGAACAGAGGCAGACTCTAAAACAACAGGAACCAGTGAGTGGGACCACATCGACGTGGTGAGTTTTGAAATCACTGCTTAAAATTGGAAAATGGAACTTTGGTTTGACTTTAGAGCAGGGATGGGCAATGGTGGCCCGTGGGCCAGATGTGGCCGCAGGTGACTTTTGTCTGGCCTGCCAATTAAGAGTTTTTTTCCCCTTTCAAAAAAAGCACTCAAAGCAGCTCTTAGGTGAATTTTTGAAAATTACAAAAATGTATAAAACTATAATACATTTTTCAAAGTTAGACACGTAAAAAAAATTTTGTTTTTGTTTTTTGTTTTTTAATAAGACCTTTGGACCAATTGAACTGTTGAGCTGTTCTCCACCCTCTCTTATATTTGAAACAATGTAGGAACAACAAACCACTGTTTACCTTATTTTTTAAATTAAATATTAACCGTGTTATGTCCAAACAGTGGAAAATGATCAATAATACATTATTGATCCAGAGATGACCATTTTAACAGATTTATTTTCGTCTTGGAGAGGAAAATAAACATTTCAGCTCCTGACTATGTTAATATGTAACTGCGGTTAACGCAGGTGTTTTTCAGTGCTGATGGGCGTGGGGGTCTTTGGTTTTGGTTTCAGGGTGAACTGGAGGCTCTGGAGAGCTCGTTAGGGTTGGAGCAGGACAGCCTGACGGAGCAGAAACAGCAGCAGGAACGAATGGCGAACACCGTCACCGGACAGATGTACCTGGAAAGTCAGGTGAGCTGAACTGATCTTTTCTTTTTTTGGTTCACAGTCTTAAAAGACTGTTTATCAATGTTATTCTAAATATAATTGTGCATTTTTTGTGGGATTTTATTAGATAAAATTAGATACTAGTACACATATTGGTGAGTTTCTCTTTGGTTTGTTTGCTCTGATTGTTTTTGAACTCGCTGTGGTCTGACCAACGTCATGTCGCATTCCAACCACATAATTCAGGGGTGTCAAACTCAGTTCCACAGACCGTTAAAGGGATGGTTGTAATTAACTTTGACTAAACCTGAAACGTCATGTTCCTGAGCACCGCTAACAAACAATAACTGAGCTCTACCTGGTATTTCCTGCATAGAAACAGTGTTTTAACATGTCCTTTTTTAAACGCATGTACGACTGACTAAATGTGAAATAAATACTACAGAAATATTATTAAAAGTAAAAGTACGAGAGTTTTACTCGCTGATGAGTTGTGGTGAGTAACTGCCGTCTTGATTTCTGAACTCTCCCACTTTACAACAGGGAATTCCCACCAGGAGGGGCATTCCAGTTTAAATTTATGGCTTGTACGTTGGAAATTCCCACTTCCTAGTACAGCTGTAGTAAAATGGTGCATTCTYTTAGCTCTGGGAAGTAGAAATTTCCTTGTTCTCATTAGTAAATTTAACCTGGGACTAGGGTTGGGCAATATCAGCAAAAAAATTAATCACGATTAATTGTGGCATTTAGCCGATAACGATTAATTAGACGATTAACGACCTGGAGTCCCTGCACACCTTTATGTCCTGGTCACATGACCAATTTAGRGGGAAATATTTTCTTTTCATAAAATCTGTTCCAAATTGTGTCAAAATCACAGACTTCAGGCTATAATCACTTTTTAAATTGTGTTGATAGATAATTAAATTGCAGAACCTTTTTTTAATGTTTGTCATATTTAAAGCAGGGAGGAGCACCGAGCGGACTCTGCCTGGTGGCATTAATCGTATTAATGTTCAAGTGCCAAAAAATAATCGATTAATGTTTTTCTGACGATTAATCGCACACGATACGATTATGCCCAACCCTACCTGGGACGCCCCCTCCAGTGGTAAATCCCTGTTGTATAGTGGGAGCGACTGCGAACACCCCCAGTTTCAATTTCAAGATGGCGGCTACTCGCAGCTTTAGCAAGTTAACTCCGTAACTTTTACTGTTAATTATTATTCTTAATGTTTTTGTGCATGTTTAATCACTCGTACAAGTAGTGTGATTTTTGTGCATATTGTATGTATTAAAGTCTATGTTTACTTTGCAGATGTCAGTGTTTATTTGCATGACGTATGTAGTTTCTCGTTTCTATTGTAACAGTGTTGTAACTACATCAGCGGCAGCAGTACAATTGCCTGTCAGCTAACTGGAATGCGTTTTCATATGTTTTGTTGGGAAATTACATCGCTACCACTTCCCAGTTCCAGAATATGATGTAAATGGAGTGCACCAAAAGTAGATGGCAAAAAATGCAGCAAAATGGAGATTTTGCCTTGAACCCCGTGCAGCTCCACCTAGTGGTGGGACACCGTCATTTCATGGGTAAAATAATCAACATGCATTGTGGGACATGTAGTTTGTCGGTACTGGCACTAAAGCAGCTTATTTTAAGAGAGTAATAAATCTTTACAGGGATCCACAATTAGTTGTAACATTAGACTTTATTTGATAAACATAAGTTTTAACTGTAAAATAAAAACTGTAAAAATACTAGGCTGTTTAGTTTTTATAATTTTTAAACTAAAAGTTTAAAATATATTACATGGACAGGGCCATTTTATATGCACA